GCATGTTCACTTACGGAAGACTCGTGTGTGCCATGCTGCCGGCAGACGATCATCGCGTCTGGCTATAGATAGATGTCTTCCACTTCCGTTCTGTTTTGTTCCTTTAGGGCGGACAAGCGCCAGACACGGCAAGTGCGCTTCGAAAAGCAAAAAGAACCACCACTCCTCCGCCGCGGAAACGTTCATCGACAGGCCAAATTTCTCGGTTATTTATACGATTACCCTCCGTCTGGCAATAAGTTCGGATGACTATATTCTCGTGTAATATCTAATCGTTTCGTGTCTTTTTTCTTTTTGGATATCTTGAATTCTATGATTACGATTTCAAGCGAATTCAAAGACTGTCACGAGAAGTGAAATGACGCGACGCGACGTTCGAATTACTGAACTGACATTGTGAACCATGACGAATATTCTCTAGAGACGATTCAGTATCAACGTGTTTAGAATACAAATGATGAAACGATAAAGATTTCATCGGGTATGTATGATCACGGCGAATCGTGCGATTTTTGACCCGATTTTCGATCAAAGTTACGCACTCTACAATGACTCACAATTTCGATGCGAGAAGAATGATAAACGAAGAAATAAATTATTCGGCGGCGAGTGGTCCAAGTCTTCTCAAATCATCCCCTCCTTTTTCGTTCTATTTAATTAGTTAATTCTTTTTCTGATTCTGTTCGAAGAACACGGGCGTTTGTAGCGACGAAATATGTACTTCTTTCATTCTGAACGCAAGGTTCACAAGGGGCACACTCAACGTACGATGATTGATTCTAAAAAAGTACCACCACCACTGGCGTGTGTGACAAACAAAAATAACTGAATTATTAAAAACTTGTATTATTTTCACTAACATGACATTCTTTTCTTTCGATTTATAACAGAATTTTCCTTTAATCAAATTTCTCTTGAATGCAATAATAAAACATAGAATTATTATAACGCGTATTTTCTAATGATACACAACACACTTGTTTCTTATATAAAAAAATTTCGTTTTTATTATTTTGTCCGGGACAGCGCGAACGCAGTCCCGACTACCAAAAATTATACGCCCGAGATATCCACATTAGGGGTATTCGCAAGGGTCAGCCTAACCTTAGTGCAATGGAAAAGCCTCACCCTGGAGGAACCGCCTTCTTGATCACGGTAACCTCTGCGCCAGGTAAGTATGCTTTCATTCCCTTCGAGCCCCAACTTATCCCAACCATCGATTAATCTCGCCCGCGAGAAAGTGCAACTCCTCACCGCCATCTAGTGACGACTCGCGTCCTAATGCCTTCCACCACAACAGTGGTGCTCATTCTAGTTTATGTGCGTCCACAGCAGCTCTCAATTCGCGCAACATATCTACGTGAGCCATATACATATGTAGATATACCGCAGAAATTGAAGCAAATTTGAAATTCGCACGATGAGAGCACGCGTTAATTTTTATTGAAACCATTATCTTCGAGGTGATTAAACTCACCTGAAATGAACCATGTTCCTTGACGTCCGTGAAAAATATCGGCGCTTCCTTGGCATACCATCGATCTTGCGAATATATCGAATTCACCCTCATACCGGCTCTGCTTTTCTCCGCCACGGTCAGAGCGTTATCCTCGTTGATCTGCGTCGAATTGACAAGATTCGCGCGACCGTCGTCCCTTTCACTCTCCATGAATTTTAACGTGCTTGCAGGCGATCCTCCAACCTTCTCAGAAATCGTAAAAACCGAGGAGGTATTACTACCCAACATCACCACCGATTCATCCACTTTTCTGATCGGCGAACACGTTGGTAACATAACAAAATTACGTGGATCATTAGAGTTCGATGTTACACGCTGCTGCTGCTGCTGCTGTTCGTTGTCTCTGTTCTTCCTTAAAACCGTCATATCATTGATTTCCAGTTCTCGGATATTGCTAAATGCAGCTTTACTTCTACAATGTTTGCAATCCCTCTTCTTACGTCTTCTGTTGGGTCTGCACTCATTTTGCAAGACGTTCGGCTGTATTCGAGGCGTGGAGAAGACATCATCCACGACGAGATCTTCTTGGCAGCCGTTGATGCTCTTTCGACTCGTCACTCGAACGGAGGAGCTTATCGTAGAAGAATCGAGACCGATGCCTCGACGAAATGGTAGCGTCAGATTGCGTCTGAAAACGGCTGCAACCTCTTCACGATCCAACGATCCTGTTGTACTAGCATCTCGAGAAATGTTGTAATCAACTACATTTAATGGTTGCTGAAGACTGTTCGTCTTTGATCCTTGAGAATGTTGAGTGGATGGTCCGTTGGAGAGATTCGAGGTGTCTTCTACGCCTGGTGAGATGTCCTCGTACACGTGACCATCCGTGTTTAAGGCTGAACCGTGAGGAAAAAGGCCGACACCCGGTGGTGAATCGAAGGAGAATGCCTGTGAATCGTGGTAGGACTCGTGGCGCGAAGGCTGTTGCTCCTCCTCGAAACCTTGGTTCTCCATCTGGAAAGAAAAGAAAAGAGGAAGCACCGACGAATCGAAATGGCACGTTTCGCGGATTTCGATCACCAAGGTGGGGGGAGAAAGAGAAACTTGGACCACCTGCATCGTGCTTATGGCCGAGAGAATCGGGTTCGGTCATAGCATTTCAACGAGCATAGTTTGATTGATTCATGGCAGTTTACCCTCCCTACGAACGGGTGACTAGAGATAATTAAACGTTTCGTGGGTCGTACCGATCCCAATTGTGTTCGCCAATTATCGTGTCCTCGACGATTGTCGATTCAGTTTTTCTTCCGGAAGGCTCTGAATCAATTAAACAGATACAATATCTATTAGATTGTATAGCAAACGCATTCCTCTATCAATTTGTTCATCGAATGTGGGTAGTGAAGAAGCCGAACGCTCCCACGATAACCGATCCGAACCTCTTCGTGAGCGTTAAAGTAACCGATGTCACCATCTATCCACAAAGTTCAAACTTTCACGTTTCCTTTATCCTAGTTGAAATTCTTTCAAATCTATTTCTCAGAAATCGATGAGTGCTCGCTCTATCAGTGGATGATTATCAGGTAAACGCGGTTACCACCAGACCAAGAAGGAAAAGCAAACGGAACTTGGATCTCGAGGTGCAATTAGCGATCGGCAATCTTTGAGACTAAGTAAATAGTGCGAGGAACCGTAAATTGAACAGCGAAAGAGTCGCGCGTGGAGAGAGAGAGTTGCGACGAAGGAGGGAGCGGAATTAAGCGTCTCGTTGGGGAGCATCCCGACGATTGTCGCAATTATCGCGACTTGACTCTCCGATTGATCCCGGCAAGCCTCTGACGTCATCGACCTCGTGGATCTTCGGTGGATCTTCTTCTGGATCGTGCATCGTTTCGTTCTCGCCTCGAGAATTTTACATGTCGGCCGATTCGCGAGACTTCCAACGAAACGCGTAACCTTTCAGGATTCTTTCATCAAAGAGAATAATAAGAAAGAAACTTTCCAACGTAAATATAAAGTATAATCGGGTGGACGATGCAAATCTTGAAACTGAAAGAGGTTAGAGAAAAGGAGGGAAGCGATAACAGGTTCGAGAGCCGAAGGAAGATCGAGCGATAAACGGCAATCTCCTCTTTTCCTATTAGAAACGGAACCGAACCCCACAATCTGGGATTAATTCCGAGTGTCTATCGGCTCTGAGTCAACCTCGCGCCTCCACGGTGACGCATTGTGTGAGCCTAACAGGATTGCGTACAACTGCTACGAATGTTAACGAGGAAAACGCATTCCCAATTGAAACAGTCATCGAATACCATAGAAAAGATCCACGAGCTACTGAACGATGACACCACGTTAGACCACGCGGAAGGAAGCACATTCAAACATTATTAATGTTAATGAAAGAAACTTTGCGTTCGATAGTGATTTTCTCCCCTGGAAGAGAGGAAGGTTGTTTGAATTCAAAGGTTGTTCCGTCGATGACGACGACGACAACGATACCTGTTTCGAAATTCGCGTATCGATTTCTGTTCAAGTCGAAGGTGAACGAAGGAATCGGTCAATCGAGCCGACCGATGGCTAATTAGTTCTCATCTACGCTTCTAAGGCTGCCGTCTCTCCTTACGTTGCACTGTTCTGTTCGTCGTGCGCTCAATTAGAGGTTAACCAATTAACAAACGCACGCCTCTGCAAAGGATTCGCCAGCTCGCAGCTGATGCGTAGCCCCTTCCAACGATCACTACCGATTCCATCCAATATGCACCAACGATCTCTCGATATTTGTACGCGGACGAAGAAAGAAAATGATGGTTGCATGTGACTAGTGATATAGAGAAGTTCTACGAGATGTTGCGACGCGTGGCAACCCCTCGGAGATACCGTGATTCCTCGTCGAAGTCGTTCCGGTCCAGCGTATGCCGTAATTGGTTCGGGAAGGTGATTAATCGAGAAACGATTTCGACGGTTAGGCTCGCTCAGGCCATTAAGAACAAAAGCACACGAGCCAGCACGTGTGTGGCTACACAGGGTGGCCGCAATTAGTCACGTTGCGAAGATGCGTGCGGCGATCTATTCGTAGATACTGTGTAAAGGTTTTCTGCAGCACCGATACCCGGAACAGTACGAACGTTTTCCGAAATTTATCGTTACTTACCACGTAGACTAAATTTTCTAAGCTTGGAAAATGTTGAATGGTTGGGAAAATTGAGAGCGGACGTCTGTGAAGAAACGTTTACAGAGTAGTATCGTGGCCGTGGAAGCATCGTACATAAAAGAAGACCGGTTGTTTGCTGGCACGTGTCGCGCCATATGTCGGTACATGGGGTGCACGAGGTGGCCAAGGGCTAACGTTACGCACCGATCACCGTAACGGTACAAATTACGTCAAACGCCTGCGTTTTTATCGAAGTATCGAGGATATTCGAAAGAAATTATTCGCATCCAGGCTAGGACTTGCTCTCCTTGCCGCGTCAGCAAGTTGCATCACAATAAAACGCCAACGGTTATCGATCTAATTGCGGCTCCTTTTGCATTATTACCACGATCCATTACAGAGACCGGCTACCACCTAGCTTTTGCAATTCGAATCGTCTAGAGAAACGCGTCGCTATAACGAACCGTAACCCATCATTGTGTCTTACGGATGAACGATGCTAGAGCATTTTACGAGGAAACTTTTTGAGAAAAGAAAAGAAGACTGAACCTGTTCTCTCATTCATGTATATCGCGTTCTCGAAGCAGAGGGAAGGAAGCGGGTCACACCCCTTACAATTATTGTGCTCGGTGCATTACCGGCAGATTCTTCGACAACGATACCTATTACTCGACGATTCCTGGCCGTTATTCCATTCTAGTGTATACAGTGATATCGAGGAAACAACAATGGCGCATTATACGACAGCGTGGTCCGCATCGGGCACCGGGTACAGCCACGACTCGCTCGGATTTTTCAAGAGGGGATCGCGATTACGACATTCCCCGTTTCCACGGCTCCAGATCCCGGCTATTAATTCTGCGTTTCGTAGCTCGTTTATTATCTTGCCTGACTTCATATTTGCTTTGCTAATTCGTAGATGTCAATCGGAGAACGAACCGCCAGATATCACCGTACCCTAGCACCCCTCTCCCCCTTCCCCTCTTTTACAAAGTAAATCTTACATTTTTTCCGTTCTGAAAGCCGTATAAAAAGGATAAACAAACGAACACTTCTTTAGTGAATTATTATTGTAGAGAAACTGACTGCGTGGGAAACGCCGAAACCGTTCAGAAACACGGTGAAAAGTGTAATGGTGAAAGAAATTGCAGAAAAACGAGTAGGCTGATGTAAAACGTTCGATAACAACGTATTCGATGCATCGATTACGTGGACAGTTGAGACATCCATTTTTCCACGGAAACTGGAACGTTCTTATTGAACAGAAATTCTTTCACGTGCATTTCATTAAGCTTGTTTTCACGCGTTCAACCCGCCGCTGCTGCTGCTCCTTTCCGATCAAATTTTTGAATTTATCCTCTTCGTAGTCATAAGATAGGTTGTATTTACTACGCTGCAGGTGATACTATTCACCGTTCGAATCACAATGGGCTATTCCCGTGGCTGAAAATGATTTGCGCGGCAACGGTCTGGGTCCGTTGCGGGTCACTATGAAATATCATCGTATTAATTCGTTCTATTACGCAATCGTTATTGGCTTACAATTTTCTACGAAGGAAAAGTGCCTCGTGAACTGTTACTTCTACTTTATCGACTTTCCTTACAAGAGGGGATGTAGCTCAGTGGTAGAGCGTTCGCTTTGCATGTGAAAGGCCCCGGGTTCGATCCCCGGCATCTCCAACTTTTTTTTTTGTAATTATTGCTTTTATGCAAAGGTATAATACTTGTTCTCCATTGTGAATATTATTCCGAATAATGAATTTTTGTTTTACTATAAAATTTATTACTTTTTTCATCTCCAAATACTCTGTCTCTGTCTCTCTCTCTCTCTCACACACTCATTCACTCACTCACTCACTTTGTGCGTGCGTGCGTGTGTGTAATATGGTAAATTGAATTTCGGCACCTATTTATTTATCGATGAAAATTTTGAAAGAAACGCATTTCCAATCATGTAGTCTGTAACAGTGTACTTGCCTCGTAAAATTAGAAGGAAATCGATTCCACGCAATATTTTCGATCCGAAGAAAAGGAATCTCGTGGCAATTCGATATTATTAACGATTATTTTGATCGTATTGAATCGCAGGAAATGTAATAGCTATTTTATTCCATGATCGACTAATATGATTCCCATCCACCTTCTGTAGCGATTTAGTCGAGAAGCGAGGAAAAGTATGCACATTCGAATAGTTTCGAGGTTTGGCTTATTACATGGACTAATAAGCGCAGCAAGTATATCGCGTCGATTATCCGTTAAGTATAGGGATCGAAAAGCAAGGGATATCGGCGGCTTTGGTTTGCTCGATGACTGCACGTCACTGGCATGTACACACAGTCGTAATTCATACACTCGACTATATATTAGCCAGCCCTGGATCTCTCCTACCACTCTCCCTTTGCCACGAGCAACACGAATAAATCGTACAATTCACAACTGGCCACGCGCGTCTTCGTGAACCACACGAAGAAATCTGCGCAGAAAGAAGAAACTACGCTACCAGCACGATACCTAATTCGTCCCACGTGTTGCTGGAATTTGTTTCAGCACTAGCGGGTTGTCCAATTAGACTCTGTTCACCAAGAGCAATCGAGCATGCCCCGTTATCGATTGATCTCTCTGTGTCTCGACGCATACTTCGTGTGCCATCGAACGAATGAAATGGAACTGGAGTGTATACACGATAGCACCGGATCCCGGTTCGTGTATCTAGGTCGACATCGCGACGTAACAAGTGGGCTAGGAACAAGTGAGGAGCGGAACAGGTTTAGCTACGGGGTCTTCCTGTTCGCGGCACTGAACAGCGCGGCGCGATTATCGCCGCCACACTCGCTCCATAGATTTCCGGAGAAGAATGATTCGT